TACTACTCACGGCTTGTAATTTAGATATTTTCCACGAATTGATTAAATCTCCAAATTGTAAAAACATTGATTTCAATGCGACTAAAATAATGCACGAAAGGGTGGCCTAAAAATAGTGAACAAAACAGAAATACATTTCGGTTAAAGTGTATGAAAGCACATGAAATTCAGATCATCACAAGAAAATGATGTTTTCAAAAAATTACATTAATCAATTTGTTAGACACCAAATAATATGTAACAAATACACGATATAACAAGACTAGTATTAACAACGAGATTATTTTACACACAAAATTATTTACTACACATAGGATTACACTATCGTTTACTACAAACTACTGTCGCAAAGGTTTTGTTAGCAATTAATTGAGAAGAAAATACTTTAATGTCAAAGAATTTGTTGTTTTGAAAAAATCAGATGTAATTTAACGAAAATATTTTGCGCCCAATTCTCTGACATTTAACGGCAAAACATACCATAAATAATATATAAATCTATTGCTTTGTTGTGTTGTTTTTGCTCCCGAAACAGGAATTTGTGTCTAAAAATATTTCTTCAACGCTTGTATTACTTCTCAGACCCGATGTCTGGACTAATCTGTTCTCGCAATTTATTTCATGCAATTTAGAGTTCATTTAATGTCTTCTCTCTTTTTTACAGTCTCTCTCTCTCTCTCTCTCTCCAACATTAAGGTAATTGAAAACTCAATGTTATGTCAAAGCAAAATAATAAATGTATGTGTTTTTATATTCAATGTAAAAACATATGCAAATAAACTTAATGCTAATACTCTTCAGGCAATTGTCAAACTTGTCTAATAAAACAAATAATTGGAAAAAAGTTTTTCAATTATTTATAACTATTTAAACAAAGATTATGTCATTAAATATGCATTTTATTATTTTACTAGTTTATCAATTTGCTTTTTTTATTTACTTGCCTTAACCTTAACCTTTGTTTCCTTATTTATTAAGCCTTTTGGTAATTTTCCTTCAGTTTTATTACCGGTTTGAATTATTTGTCAATTATATAAGTATTACATTTATATACACGTTATCTAAAGTATATTTATTTAATTAATTTTTTAATTAACATTAATCAGTGATAAATAATCACTCAAAAAAGTGTCATAACTAACCATAGTTTATTGTGGATGGATTAAAATAACCACGTTAGTGTACGTTGGAATAAATAGCTTGATAATTAAATACTAGATTCCAAGTAATATTGCTTGGTGGAAAATTACTAACAAGTATGTACTAAATATGTACTTTCTAATTGAAATTTAGCATAAAGATTGTGCAAAATTTGTATTAATATTAATAATTAATGTATGCATTTATGTACGAATTAATTTTAGCATATTCATTTTGCCTGTTTGGCGCACTTTGTGGTAAATTGTGGATTCAATTTAATGTAACTTAATATACTGTACTTTTATTAAGTTCAGTCGGCAGTACTTAAGCACTAAATAAGTTTTAAAACACAATTAATATAACACATAAATAATCCCTTTGTTTCCTACGATAGATATCAGACAAAAATCATTGGCCAACGAATCGATGATATCTAATGGCAAACATCTCATTAGTTTCAAGAGTAGTGATCATTATTAACAACTAATCAACAATAAAGAGAAAAAATGCCAACAATTTGTCAAATAATGGCTCTGAAGGCAAACTCTTTTGGACAATAAAACTAAAAAACAAAAATAGGTTTGAAGTAAAAGCTAACTATTGATTGAAAAAAAAACTGGGAGACAATCGCCAATACGGCTAACAATACAGGCATCGGAATTAAGGGTACATTTTTTGTGTGTCCATCAATTGATTTAAAGCTTAAATACAGTGAACACAACGGCTTATCCTACTATTTATTTTTGCTATTTTTTTGCTGCTGTTGTCGACGGGAAAAAATAATTCCCTACTATTTCTGCCATACATTACATAATATTTCGCTTATTTCTTAGGAGAGAGAGAAAAAAAGTGACGACAAAACAGAAAATAAAACATAAAAGTATTTTCATTCAACGGATTTCAGGGGTTTTAGTTGTGTTTTCTGTTTGTGTGTGTGTTTTGGCTGTCATTTATCAATAGTAATAATCTTTTATTAATTTCTTGGGATCTATTGTGTGATAGACTTACTTGAAAAATGCCGGTAAGCATACAAAGGCTGGTCAGCACTTCTAGTGTCGTGTAGTCTTCGGCTCCGGACGTACTGTTGCTGTGATGTAGTGTCGGATCAGTTGGTATGGCATTCAGTTTGTGGGCCGCGTTGGACGACATTATGCTTATGATTGCAAATGTGCCTAAAAATTGCCAATAAATATAAAATATGAGTTTAATTTCATTGGATTTTTTTATGTGTTATAAATGGATATTTTTTGATTATTTTGGTTGAAATTATTTTATAATTTTCAATTCTTATCAGATTTGCGGATAAAATGCTGTCAATTATTTAATGTCGAGATGAGAGTTAATGAATAAAAAATAATTAAATATTTGCTTAAAATCAGTGGTAAATACAAATGCAATGAAGTGTTAAGATTGAAAAATCTCTTGGCCTGAAATGAGTTCAAACACGTGTGGGATGTGCTCTAAGACTACACTACAGGAGCCATCGATTGTGTGACAGTAGTCTGTGTTTTATTATTTGCTTGTTTTACTGGCTTTACGTCTAATATTTTATTTCAATTATTTGCTGTTACGTAATGAGAGAGTGAATAGGGTTTCGGGGCTCAGGTTCTCATAATTTTTGTTGGATACAAGTTTATAAACTTATAGCCTCTCAGGTATCACATCTCTCTCTCTCTCTCTCTCTCTCTCTTTCCTATTGTTAATTGGATTAAAAGTTATTCAATCAAAGAGTATCTGATCAGTGATGTGATCGCCGGCTTCACTATATTGATACTCCATATACCGCAGGGCATGGCTTATGGTATGCTCGCCAATGCTCGCCGGCCTGTCGGCCATCAACGGCTTGTATGTATCCTTCTTCCCGGTCCTCATCTATTCATTAATGGGAACCTCAAGACATCTATCAATTGGTAAATACAATCAACTTTTATTAGCTCTCTCTCTCTCTCTCTCTCTCTCTCTCTGGAAATTAGATTATCTGAAAGCCATCGAAGAAATTGATGAAAATAGGAGATAATTCGGACACAAGAAGTACAACATTTCTATCTTATAGTGCATTGAAATTACATTTAAAATGAAAGTAAAGGCTCGACGAAAGAGAACTAATAAAAGTTGATTGTATTTACCAATTGATAGATGTCTTGAGGTTCCCATTAATGAATAGATGAGGACCGGGAAGAAGGATACATACAAGCCGTTGATGGCCGACAGACCGGCGAGCATACCATAAGCCATGCCCTGCGGTATATGGAGTATCAATATAGTGAAGCCGGCGATCACATCACTGATCAGATACTCTTTGATTGAATAACTTTTAATCCAATTAACAATAGGAAAGAGACTCAAGAGTACACTAAATGGTGAACACGTTTTGCCGTAATTCTTGGCCGATCGACACAATTGCCGCCCGAATGACTCTTTCGGGTGGATTTGTTTGCCGTACTTTCGGTTTAGATCGTCGAAGTCGATGACATCGCGGCTGATGTCGATGTGATGCCGACCGGACGGCCCGTTGCCGCCGGTGTCGGCGCCCAGCGTTGCCGCCGATCCGCCGCCCGACGACCCGATGGTGGCGTTCGAGCCGTTGATTGTGCCGTAATTGTTGACCAGACCGTCGGTCTCGTCGCTGATATTCATGCCTCGATTCTCGTAACCAGACATATGTCTGTCAATGGATTCATCGCTAGAAGTGCTGATCCGAAAGCTTCGTCTCTCCGACTGCTGATCATTATTGTTGGCTCTAATGTCAGAAACTAAACACACAATTGTATTGTTAGAGGCAATGATTTTCTTATTTGTTTGCATTTTATGTAAAACGAGTTAATAAATCATGAAATATACTGAAGAAAGTAACAAAAAATTTTCATATAATCATCGGGGAAATGATTGTTGCATTTTATTTCTCTCCCCATTTCTCTCTCTCTCTCTCTCTCTCTTATCAGATGTGCGGATAAAATGCTGTCAATTATTTAATGTCGAGATGAGAGTTAATGAATAAAAAATAATTAAATATTTGCTTAAAATCAGTGATTTGCATTTTATGTAAAACGAGTTAATAAATCATGAAATCTACTGAAGAAAGTAACAAAAAATTTTCATATAATCATCGGGGAAATGATTGTTGCATTTTATTTCTCTCCCCAATTCTCTCTCTCTCTCTCTCTCTCTCTCTCTCTCTCTCTCTCTCTCTCTCTCTCTCTCTCTAATAGCAAGTTTGACAACTCTTTACAATTACAAGTAAAATATAATGAATATAATTATAATATGTGTATAAAACATATAATTTTTGAGATCAATGCTTACTTTGACTTATCGTATAAACACTTATATCGTATTTATTTTTCATTGAATATCAAATGTAGTTTTGATTTTTTGTTTTATTAATGTTAAAAACACTTTGTAATTATACGGCTTATTAATGTGTAATTATTTAAATTTAAATAATTTTTTGTCTAACAAAACATGTTTTTAAAAACTTAGTTTATACTAAAATACATACAGGTAATATTTCACTGAAGTTTTATATAGATAATATTGTTTATGCATAACTATATTACAATGACAATCACCACAATCGTGTGCATAATACTATTTCATAGACAATTGTACATCAATTTATAGTAAATTACATGTTTTATAGCCATTCCTGGCTTAAAGATATTGTACGCAAAGAGACCAATAAAAGGGATTATCAATATTTTCAATAGACTTTCAAATTAATTCTCCCATAAAGTCAATTCCCGTTCGTTTCCCGTGTTTTCTTCCGGGAAAATATTAAGAAAGGGAAATAAAGACAAGTGACCAGAGAAAGAAAAGTTCCCCTGAATTAAATAGATGGTAAAAATCGTGGTACATTGTGTCTCAATGATTTTTAATGATGTTTGTTTATCATTGATAAATTATCAGATATATTGTAAAACAGTTTCTTAGTAAATAATAAAATTTGAAAATTTAATGATTGCAAACTCTCTGCAAAATCACTGTAAATAAGTGTTATTTTAATAATATATAAATAAAGGTGTTATAAAGATAGCTTGATATAGAAATCACACGCTTTTTAGTTATCTATATGATTATATTTATTAAATTTATAAATAATAATACAATACCACCGCATACTATGAACTTTGTGGTGATAAATAATAATGTACAAATTACCAAGTTTTTACTAAAAAATAAATTTATATATTATTATATATAGATTTAAAAACAAATCTATGGTTAAGATATGCTTTTAACATAAGCGACAAGTGAACAGGGAATAGACATTACATTTGGTAAATGTTACAAGCCTAGTTTAAATATTAGTTATATTGTACCTTGGTATATTATCATTATATGCTTGTACTACTGTACTATCACTTATCAAAATATCACTTACGTTATCAAATCATACGGTATTTACTCGTTATTTGTATGTAATCTTCTAAATAGCATTATTAAATTCATGGATACTTTTTAATACACTTACTGTTAATCAGTAGCCAAATGTGAGTGTTGTCTAACCCTCTCGACAACAATATACAGATATATAACAATTTTAAACAATTGAGTTAATTAAGTACTCAATAAATTAACTCATTATTAATTAATGAATTGAAATACACTGTAATTACGATTAAATATTTTTTGTTTTATTGATTAGTTATTTACTACCAGTATTTTAGCTCTCATTAAAGCGATAATTAAATATAATTGTTGTCATCAATAATATATTTGTCATTTTATTGTCCAACAAAACTAGATCTGAATCTAATCTATTTTTTTTAACAATCCATCGATTGTTCCGTTTATTATTGATATGTCGTAAACGTCAGTAAATTATATAAATTCCCATTAGTTTTGTAATAATGATATAACAATTAATATATCGTAAATATATTAAATTGTTAGCCATTTATTATAACTGATATAAATGCAATTGTTTTCTACATAATTAATCTATCTCACTTTCTCTCATATCAATTTATTTTATTTATTCAATTGTTAACTCTATTGATTGTAATCAGTTTTTGGTGGATTAGTTTAGTTATTTATGACCATGGTACATCTCATTCGTAAGTACAGTTTGATATGAAACGATCGTTTATTTTTATAATATCAGGAATATTCCGGCAATTTATTACATAATAACTTAATCAACTGATTGTAAATTATTACAATTAGCCATTACTTAATTGCATTTGGATATATTCATTTTGAAATAAGTAATGTATCATGTTCGTAAAATATCAATATAACATAAGTTATGTTACATAACAGAGAAGTTATATTAATATTTTATGGGTCCGTATTAACTGATAGATAATTATTCAGATAGAGATATTGTATTGGATTTATTGTTATTTAAATGCAATGCATTATCATTACATTTGAAACCGGTTTGTATTAATACTTTTGTGACGGTTCTTGTATTGATGAGTGGTGTTCAGAGAGGGCGCGCGTGTAGTTGTCTTAGTTTCGATTTTCGAGTAGCGATATCTCGAAAACTACATCCCATATTTGATTCAAAGTTGTTTAGTCGAAAGATTATGATGAGAAGAATGGCTGATCGAAAGGAAAACTTCGGAAGTTGTCCTGGAGCTGATCCAGTGGACAAAGAGTTTGTCAATGGGAGGTGTATGTGTAGACTTTCGGGCAGCGATTACTCGAAAAGTATAGTTTTGATTTTCACCGAAAGTGGTTCAATCAAAAGCTATTGATGAGAGGAAGAGTTGGTGTGAAGGAAAAGTTCAGGACTATCACCGGAGCTGATCCAGTGAGTGAAAAGTTTGGACGGTTGAGTGTTGTTATGGGTAGAGGTGTGTGCGCGCGGAGTGCTGTGTTGTAGGTGTGAACACCTTCTGACGAACCGTACGGAACGGTAGTTTGAGACCTGATCTTCGGGTGGCGATCGGGTCTACCGTCGATGTGGTTATCGGGTGAAGAGGTTTGTATGTACTTTACGGAGACTTACTTTATATATAGCACTATCGGGTGAGTGCACGGCTTGTCGGGGAGGAAGGGTAAAGTAAAAAGTATGAGACCTCGGGTCGCAATGCTTATCAAAAGCCGGACTCTCTCGGGTAGAAGTAAAGTGAAATAAGTGAACGACAGACCGTATGTTTTCAAACTAAAACTAAACTGTTTTTATTGAACTTTTCAAACGTTAGGTTAAATACAAAGTTATTTTGGTTATACAGTTAATACGCACATAAAAGCATGTTTTTATAAAGTTATACAAATAATAAGTATAAGTGTTTGATATCATTATAAATGTAATATTACGTAAGTTATGAATATGAATAAAAATGTAACTGTAATTAAATGTAATTATGATTAAATTAAGTAAAACATAGTTAAATGAAATGCTGCAAATTGTGCTTAAATATGGTTTGCAGATGTGTTGAGAATGTGTTATCAATTAGCACATAGTCGTAAGAAAGGGTTAGAAATGAAAGTTTAAGCAATACATAAAATTCTTGGAAAAACAATGAAATGAAAACAATGGTAAAAATGAGATAATTATTCTTCGATGTCTTATAGCGGATCCAATACATGCAAATCCTCACACTTTAATTTGTTTGTAATTTAATTTGTTAGTTTTATTAAATTTAATATTAATTTTGTTTTCTGTCAATAAATGTGAAAAATAGTGATCAAATAATGTACTCTTATTTCAAAAATGATGGAAAATAGTAAACAGCAAAAGTGATTAGGCTTTGTTCACAAAGTACGTACGCACTTTTTAAGAAATCTAGACCCCCTCCCCCCCTATGTTCGCAATTGTTCGCATGTTCTCATTTAAAAGAAAAGTACGTACGCATTTCGTGTTAACCCCCCCTCCCCTAAGAAATAAAATACCACTAAATTTTATAAATAATTTAATTAAAATTAAACCAATCGTTTAAATCATGTATTATAAACATAGAATCGACAATAATTATAGAAATAGTGCTTGAAGTGGTCATGTTGCCGTGATTAACTTTGATAGCAGGTTAATCCGTTAAATTATTTTAATGCGTACGTACATAAGGTTTGTATACCCCCCCTCCCCCTCGTTCGCAAAAGTTCGTTTTGGCCGACACCCCCCCTCCCCCCAAGTGCGTACGTACTTTGTGAACAATGCCTTAGTGTAG